ACATTCTCACCCCAGGGCTCGCCGCGTCCCACTTTGCCTGCACAGCTGCTGCTCTCATCCCAGCAAGGTGAAAAGTGCTCCAAACTGGTTTGAGGGAAGGCATGTGGGGGCATGTTGGTGCCCACGCTGGCTCTGGCCGGGCACCAGCTGCTGCTGGAGCAAGGGATGGGTGCAATAGGAGCTCAGGCATCCTGCTGCTCTGCACCCTGGGGTTGGGTGCTGCTGCCATCCCAACAGGGGACACAAACCCCAGGATGGGGCTCAGAGGGCTGACTGGCCAGGGTGGGCATCCCTTCCTCCTGCTGCAACCCCTGCCCGTGGCAAGCAGCACCCTGGGATGTCCTGGCTCACTCCTGCTGGCAGCCTGCACTGGGGATGGGGAACTGTGCCGTCCCCAGTCCAGCACAGACTCCCCTTTGCCCCAGGTCCTGAGCAGGGGGGACAGACACTGAAGTGTGTCTGAGCTGAAGCTCTGGCTGCTGAGACCTGAGAATGACAACTCGTTACAGAGCCAGCACAGGATCCTGGAGGTCTGGCAAGGCAGGAGTCCCCCAGCCCCTAAGAGATGGGGAGAGGACTGTGGCACAGGGCACAGCTTGGGGTCCCCAGCCCCAGCAGGCATAGGTAGCTGTCCTGTTCCCCCAGCCCACCCAGTCCTTCCTGAACACTCACTCACTTTGCTCCTCCAGGAGTGAGACCCTTCCCCAGTCTGTCCCTGCCCTGCAATCCAGCTAAAGCCACCTCCAAGCAGGTCTTGCAGACACAGCAGTGCAGGAACTCCACACCAGGATGGTCTGTGCCACCACATGGCAGAGACCCCACTCCATCCCCACCTCTGCCAGGTCCTCCCCAGCCCAGCACACCCCCAGCCACAGCTCAGAGCCAAACCCAGCCATGCAGGGCACACAGGACAGTCACTGCTCCCAGGAGAGCCCCAAACCTACCCCAAACCTTCCACTCCAAGCATTCCTGGCTGTTCCCAGGGCAGAGGCAGCCAAGACAACCTCCCACTGCAATGGATTTTTACAAACTGAAATCTTTATTAAAGTTTTATCCAAATTTTGTAACAAAAGATACAAAAGGGCTTGGAGATCCTTATTTCTGGGACTAGTCTGACCAATCAAAACCTGACAGTTACTAGGCTAATAAAAAATCCATACAATCTGCTAAAAATGCAGGGAAAAAAAAAATTAGAAGTAACTGCTGCTCTGAAATTTCTTTTTTTTTTTTTTTTTTTAAAAAAACTCCTTAAACATTTATAAGTTACTCAGTTTGCATTTTACAGGACTAGTTCTTCTCCGAATGGTTACAGCGACTGTACAATGCAAGAGACAACAGCGAGAACAAAGCAACAGGAACTCGGATGTGCTGCAACACACACCACTCCTCTGAGGGAACAGCTGGAGTCTCAGCTCCAGGGGCCCACGGATCACCTGGAGCACCCACTGGGAATGCCACAAAGTGCCAGTGCATGTCTGCACCCATGGGAACCCCAACAGCAGGACAGCAGTGACCCCCACCCAGCCCAGCGTGGCTCTCCAGCACCGAGCAGTGACCATCCCTCGGCTG